ATCGTTGCCTGCTGGGCTGCTCTCATCAAACGTGGCCGTCTCACTCGTTCCTGGAGAGGGCAGTTACAAACAAGGAACGTAAACACTTTTGAGGCGCCTCAAAAGACTTTTCGCGCCTCTGCCTCCCACTTGGTGCACACCTCGGCCAGGAAATCGTTGCCTGCTGGGCTGCTCTCATCAAACGTGGCCGTCTCACTCGTTCCTGGAGAGGGCAGTTACAAACAAGGAACGTAAACACTTTTGAGGCGCCTCAAAAGACTTTTCGCGCCTCTGCCTCCCACTTGGTGCACACCTCGGCCAGGAAATCGTTGCCTGCTGGGCTGCTCTCATCAAACGTGGCCGTCTCACTCGTTCCTGGAGAGGGCAGTTACAAACAAGGAACGTAAACACTTTTGAGGCGCCTCAAAAGACTTTTCGCGCCTCTGCCTCCCACTTGGTGCACACCTCGGCCAGGAAATCGTTGCCTGCTGGGCTGCTCTCATCAAACGTGGCCGTCTCACTCGTTCCTGGAGAGGGCAGTTACAAACAAGGAACGTAAACACTTTTGAGGCGCCTCAAAAGACTTTTCGCGCCTCTGCCTCCCACTTGGTGCACACCTCGGCCAGGAAATCGTTGCCTGCTGGGCTGCTCTCATCAAACGTGGCCGTCTCACTCGTTCCTGGAGAGGGCAGTTACAAACGGACATGTGAAACATGTGAGCACGTGCGCATGTGGACACGTGCGAAACAATGAGCACGTGGACATTAGGCATGGAGCAACATAGGGCAGAACAGAGAGCGAGTACACGCCTGTTGCAAAATATCCAACAGGGAGCAAAGCACCATAATTGGCCACATAATCTGTCTCGCTTCTCCAGCATTGATGACCCCATTCTCCACAGACCAACCAACCACACACCAACCAAAGACGCACCATAGAAGCCAACAGCCGAGGTGTTGACGAGGACAGAGGGACGCTTGTCCTTAGGAAGAGAGTTAATCGCCTCTACGATCTTAGCAGTCGTGTCCACTCGGCTAGATATGATCTCAGCCTTGATCTGATGCAAACAAACATGGGATGTGAGGGAGAAGGGAGTAGATGGGGGACGTTGTGGGGGAGGAGAGTGGAAGCGGGGGAGCAATTCACCTTTTCAAGTTGCCCACTTCAAAAAGAATGTGGGGGCCATGTTTCTCAGATTCAACAGAATCAACAGTGTCACATTCTTTTGAACCTGAGGAACATGGCCCCCACATTCCCGATGGCCCCTTCGCCTGATGGCCCCTTCCCCTGGTGCCACCTTCCCCTGAACGCCCCTTCCCTTTATGCCCCCTTGCCTTGACGGAACCTTCACTTGAACCCCCACCAACCCACCGCGGGGCTCCATCGAGTGCTGATGGGCGTGCCAGCCAGATTCACCACGGACCCGCTGCCTGCTATGGCTGCTGCCCACCCCTCCGGTCCCACCAGCTCCACTCCCTCCGTGCCTGGGTTGAGGTAGGGTGTTAGAGAGAGGATAAGAAAGCACGGAGCGAAATGAGGGATGAGACGGAAGGGTGATGGGGCCAGATTCACCACGGAACTGACCAGCTCCCTGGCCCCACCAGCTCCACTCCCTCCGTGCCTGGGGTGGAAGAACGTGAATAGCACAGAGGGAAGCGGAGGGGAGGTGACAGGAAGAAGGATTCCTTTGAGAGAGGCCTCAAGTACCTTGCACCTGCCACGGCTGCTGCCCACACCTCCGGCCCCACCAATTCCATTCCCTCTGTGCCTCATGTGGGGTTGTGCAGGGCACAAGTGGTGCTGACAAAGAATGGAGAGGAGATGGTGGGAGGAATTGAATCGGCCGAGAAGAGCAACAGTTGCTGTAGGAGGACCTTGCCTGCTGTGGTTGTGGGAAAGAGGTAGGTACATACTTGTTCGGGGCACCTCAGAATCCTTCCTGATTACCTGCCAACTGGCAGTTGGCGCATGCTGTCAACACTTGCCTACCTCCAACTGCTACCAGCAAGTACTTTAAGTTAGAACCCTTCCAGCAAACCTTCCAACTTTAAGTTAGAACCCTTCCAGCAAACCTTCCAACTTTAAGTTAGAACCCTTCCAACAAACCTAATCAGTTGAACACCACCTTCAAACATCTTCTCACGTGACGCCAACTCCTTCAAAAGCCTTCAAACACCTTCATACACCTGTCGGCACTCCTCACCTGCAAAGACCTCCTTGGCCCGATCCACTGAGCGCGTCAGAACTTTCACTTGCTCGCCCTCTACAGCAAGAGGATTGGGTAGGTAGACAGGGGGGTTGACAATGCAGGATAGACAGATTAGACTCAGGTGGGTGGGGATGGGTTGGGATGGGCTTGGAGGGGTAAGGAAGGGAACGGCAGTGATGGATGGGTGACCTCTTTGGCCCGATCCACTGAGCGCGTCAGAACTTTCACTTGCTCGCCCTCTGCCACAGAAACGGGGGAGGGAAGGGGAACGGGGGATACATTAAACTTGGAGCAAGGCATCAGCGAGCATACAACCATCGAGCACTGGAGAACCAGTCTCCAGGCTACCCAATACAATTCATGCATGGGCGAGTGAAAAGAATGATCAAAGTATCTACATCGGTTGGGATAGGTTGGGACTGGTATGAAGGCGAACAGCAGTGATGGAACCACTTGCCGCAAACAGAACTACTGATTCGTTTATGATTATCCACGTTATAAGCACCTGCTAAGAGAGCTTTAACGAGTGCAGAGCCAACGAATCCAGTGCCTCCGACCACTGCCACTGGGCCGACCTGAAGGGCGGCCAGAAACAGAACAGAACACCTGAAGGTCATTCAACAAGCACTGAACCTGAAGGTCGGGCAAGGCAACAAGCATTGAGATCGATGGTTCAGAAGAATCGACAGGCGGAGGAGGGAACAGCAGGCGTGCGAAAAATGCACATCTTGACCTAGGAAAAAATAGATTGATAAATACTTCACACATTGCTCTCAACTTATCAGTGACGCCACACACCGACGCCCACTCACCTTTGCTGCATCCGAGCCCGCAGCTTGCGCTGACACGCTCAAGCGGCGAGCATTGCAAGGCGCCAACCCGAGCGAGGCGGGCTGAGAGGACGTGCTTGCTGGACGGGCCGCAGAAACGGGACTCTGCAAAGGAGGATGAAGGATACAGGAAAAAACCGGCAGAAAAAGAGCCGGAGAGAGGGAAACGGCAAGGGAAAAGGTTGAGAGAGAAAATGGCCTCTGGGCGCGAAGAGGAGAGGGGTCTGTGCCGCTGTCAGAAAAGGAAGGTTGGGGACGTGAGGATGGACACCGGGGAAGCAGCATGGAGGGATCCATGACTCTTCAGAGGTAGAGAGAGAACGCTTATATGTGTCATTGAGAGGTAAAGCAGATGCAACAAGTCCATGTCGCGCTTGTGAAAAAGGAATGAAAGCGAGGCACGAGAGAGAGAAGAGGAGGCGTCTGGACGACAGTGGGTGATGTGTGGATGCAACAAGTAATGCAATCTCCCTGTGTAGTGACGATAGTGCGTGAAGGCAGAAATTCGGGTGAGGTGAGGAATGGAGAGTGATAACATTGCTCATTCCTGCTAAATTTACTGCGAAATTGTTAATTTGCGAGTTGATATTATTGTAGGTGAGCTTATGCAGATGCTGAAGGGTGACCATCGTAGGAGTGACACGATAAGGCATGGAAGAATGAATCGTTAGCGGGTTGATTTCAGGGCGGTAAGTTATGTGGGTGATATTAATGACTCCTTGCGAGGCATACATGGCGAGGGATGCGACGAATGCGACAGGCTTGGCAAGGGATGCGACGAACGCGACAGGCTTGGCGAGAGATGCGACGAACGCAATGACAGGCGAGTGAGCGGGTGGAAAACACCTCAGCAGAGGAGACAATGCTTCTTGATAATTTTCGGGAATATCTCGTGACAGGAGCATGAGCGGGTGGGAAATTTCCCACGAAGGGTATGAACGAGCGCGTGAGTGGGGATTACCTCAGCGGAGAGGACCAAGGAACGCGAAGAACCAGAAAAGAACGCTGAGCGGGACAATGAACCGTTTTCTGATCGACTACTCGCTGCGAAGATCGCTGATGGCGACGACGTCGCAAGGCGAGCTGCTGCCGAGGCGTGAATGGCGGCCATTGCGGCACGGTTGCTGCTGGCTGCTTTCAGAACACAAGGAATCGAGGTGAGGCAAAATGCCAAGCTCCCTCTGTTCGAGGGGAAATAGAGTGACATCCTTCGATAAAATGGACTGTCTGAAATACACCTCCTCATTCACAATGAGCGGTTGAGTCGGATGCCGTACGTTCGGGAGCGGTTTTTTTAAACCGCTTAAAACCGCTAATTACCAGCCTGTACATTGATGCATGAACTGGTGGAAACGGGGGATGGGGAAAACTGGCGGAATGACAAATGGACAACCTTGGGATTCGCAAAACCTGAGGCTCGGAGCGTTTCGGAGGGGGGGGAACCAAACGCTGGTTGGGTAGTGAGGGGTACGCGTAGGCTGTTTGGGGGATGTCGAGCCTGATTGCGAGGCCTGGAAAATCTGAATTCCGTCAACCAATTGAGCTGGGCTAGCGTGGACGAACCCGTGCCAAGAGATCTCACATAGATTTGCCTGACAGTATGGGCTGACGTGGACCACAGTAAAGGTAAGGACATTTGAAGCTTGTGCTTATCACTGATTAGAAGTCAGAAGAGTGTAGCTTATTTACAGTTAACGAAGTAAGACTGAAAGGAGGTAATTCGGTGTATCTTCACCCCTACGGCTTCCCTAGAGCGAAGTAGCCTGCTAGATCTGCTTTTCCAGGGAACAACCCACACTTGCCAGTTCCTGATAAATTTCTGTCCTTTCGCCGTTCTCGGCCAGATTCGAGTTTTTCACCATAGCAAAGAACGGGATCTGATCCGACCCGTCTAGTCCTAAGTTGCCTGGCCTGAGCTTCGACTAGGTTTTATTGTTCTTAGTGCTCGAATTTCGATCCGGTGTTGCTTCTAAGCTTCAGCCATGGCTGTATCAGGAATGGGAGACGGTCGCCTTCCCGGGGTGCGGATTCGCTCAGATTTGTCAGATTCTGTCGATCTTACAGTTCAACAGCACGCGAAGAACAGCTTTTTATTGCCGTTATGCTGAATCAGTTTCCCGCTCGTTCTGCTTTTATTCAGGGTGATCGGCTTTTCAATGAAGCGGCGACGGAGGAGAAAGGCGAACGAGCCCGACTGGTACGTTAATTCTTCAAAGATGACCGATGCAAAACGATCTGCTTAGCCCTGGAATGGTAAATGATAGCGACTTCTGAGCCGCCTCAAAGCTGCGACGGAGGAGCAAGGTGAACGAGCCCGATTGGTACGTTGCTGATCTCGACGAATGACTGATGCATATCGATCCGTCTAACCTCAGACTGATATATGAAAGCCGATCCGTTGTTTGGGACGATCTGCGGTCGTCGTTCTGCATTGTTGAACTCGACTTGTCTTCCTTCATTGAACCCTCATCGCATTCCCCGGTCCACTTTTCCTCGATCCGTTTTTTGAACGATCGGCCCCGCCGTCGTTTCAACAGTGTTAAATTCCACCAGTGTTGCCTCTCTGGCCGTTATCCCCATCCCCCGGTCCACGTTCATTCGACTGTCTCTTCCCTTGTCCGTGCATTCATCGGTATTTTCCAAGCCCCCTCCTGCTCCCCCCTCCCCTTCTCTACCCCAGATCCCTTCAAATACTTATGCCCTCTCTGTCCCTGTCCCCTAGTTTTGAGAGTTTTTTGGGAAGCTAACATTGCATTCGTCCTCTTTTTCCCCGCGATCACATCAGTCATTGCTTGTTGCAGCCGTGTCCATGTCGTATCTCGACTAAGCAACTCTCTCTGTCCTGTGCCCCGTCCCCTGTCCCCTGTTCCCTTCCCCTCCCTCTCTCTCCTTCTCTTCCTTCCCTCCCGTCCATCTTGTCTCCTATCCGTCGTTGCTTCTTGCAACCGTGGCCATCTCGGATCTTGTTAAACCGTCTCTGGGTTCTTCCCCCTCCCCTTGTTCACCTGTCCCCTTCTCCCTCGTATCTCCCCCTGATCCCGTCCGCCGCTCACTCTGCGATTCCATCAGTCGTCGTTCGTGGGCGCCATGGCCATCTCGGATCTTGTCAAGTCCACACTTTCACCTCTTCCCCCCTCCATTCAATCCCCCCACCCCCAAACCCCCCCACTCCCCCCATCAGTCGTCGTTCGTGGGCGCCATGGCCATTTCGGATCTTGTCAAGTCCACACTCGGACCCAAAGGAATGGTGAGAGCGAAGTAAAGAATAGAGCATCCAGGGGAGTACGTATGATAAAACTCGGGGAGTAGATCTGACTCGACAGGGGATTAGTACGACCAGTCGATTGGATTCCGTTGGGCAGGGAATAGAGCGGTCAGGGAATTCATGTATATACAAGTGTGTGTGGTGTACGAATCAGATGTGAGGTGTCACTTCCAATCGTTTGTTAAAAAATCTGAAATCAGTGTCAAAATTCTTGCACTACAGGACAAGGTTTTGCAGTCCACAGCTGTGGCGGTGGGCTGTTGGTTACCAACGATGGGACCTTATAACGAGCTTGACTGGCCATTTGATTTTTTTTTTTTTTCAACTGTGTTGTCTCCCTTGGTGCGTGCAGGACAAGATTCTGCAGTCCACCAGCCGTGGGGGCGGGCTGATGGTGACCAACGACGGAGCCACTGTTCTCAAGGCACTACACATTGACAATCCCGCTGCCAAAGTGCTCGTTGGTGAGTGTCTCTCAGCCAACCTCGTAGTTGTAAGCAATCTTCAGCCACCACCAGCAGTGGAGGCGGGCTGATGGTCACCGACGACGGAGCCACCATTCTGAAGGCGCTACACATCGACAACCCTGCTGCCAAAGTGCTTGTTGGTGAGTCTTGCTTTTGAGTCGACTCAAAAGCCACCCTGCACCCGCCATTCTCAAGGCGCTACACATCGACAACCCTGCTGCCAGAGTGCTCGTTGGTCAGTGTTTCCCCTTCTTCCGACTTTGGGAATCCTGAGATGAACAGAGATTTTCCTTTTGAGTCGACTGTCTCGTAGCCACCATATTTAAGGCACTACACATCGATAAACCCATCAATAACCCCGTCGATAACCCCGTCGTAGAAGTCCTCGTGGGTCAGTGTTACCAAACCCTCAATCTGGCACCATTGGTTTGTGGCGTTCCCCTTTTATCCCCGTTATTAACATCTCCAGACATCTCCAAGGTGCAGGACGATGAGGTGGGCGATGGCACGACGTCAGTGGTGGTGCTGGCGGGGGAACTGCTGAGAGAGGCGGAGAAGCTGGTTACCGCGAGAATCCACCCCATGACCATCATTTCAGGTGCGGATTAGGGTGTAGAATGTTAGATGCTTTTAAAGAAGAGGGGTCATGAATGTGAGTGGAGTGGTGGTCCTGGCGGGGGAGCTGTTGAGAGGGGCGGAGAAGCTGGTCACTTCGAGGATTCACCCCATGGCCATCATCCTAGGCAGGAACAGGGCGTTGAATGAGTGTTTTTTTTTTCCGAAATGCAAAGAAAAAAAAGGGGGGAGAGGGGGTTGAACTTCGTGAGGGAGTTGCTGGGAGAGGCGATTGAGAGTTGCCAAGGGCGAGAGAGGCTGAGAGAGCTGCCAGGATCCAACCCGTGACCAATAGGACCATCATTCCAGGTGAGAAAAGGGCGATGGTGAGTATCAGACATATGAAGTAGAGCGGGGAACGGGAGTTGGAGCTGGTAAGCTGCTGTGGAAACTGGAGAAGGTTTGAGTTCAAATTTGTGGCCCTAGAAGAAAATGAATACCGTGCACCCATTGCTGTAACCAAGAAAATGAGACGCATTGGCCTACCGATTGTTGTATCACACAGGTTACCGAGTGCAGCAAAACAAATCAGTATTTGTTTTGAATCCATTGGTGCTGTAACACGCAGGTTACCGCATGGCTCTGGACTGTGCCCGGGAGGTGCTCATCAGCAAGAGCAGAGACAATAAGGACGACCCAGGTAAGCCTATCGCAACTCGTGTTCAGTTCCACGGTTGCATGTGATAGTTATGATAACGTTATCTCCACCTAGAAGCATGGGAGAAATGTTTATAGGCGCTTTTCCCACCCACCAATGCTTTTTTGTCTGATTTGCTCTGCTATGCAGCCAAGTTCAGGGAGGACCTGCTGTGCATTGCCAAGACTACTCTGAGTTCCAAGATCCTCTCGCAGGACAAGGAGCACTTCGCCTCGCTCGCAGTGGTTGTTTTCACGCCCCTCACACACGCCCCTACCCATGCATCAAAACCCTGTCCTGTCCGGTTGCAGCCAATTTCAAGAAGGGTCTTCTCTGCATTGCCGAGACCGCTCTGGGCTCCAAGATCCTCTCGCAGGACAAGGAGCACTTTCCCTTCGCCTCGCTCGCAGTGGTTGGATGCTGTGCTGCGTGACTCACTTCCCCTCACACATGTGCCCCTCATCTATTTCCCGTTTGTGCCCCATGTGCGTGCATCCAGCCAAGTTCAGGGAGGATCTGCTGCGCATTGCCGAGACCACTCTGAGCTCCAAGATTCTCTCGCAGGACAAGGAGCACTTTGCCTTCGCCTCCCTCGCAGACCAGCACTTCTCCCCTCACTTGTGTGCCCCTCTTGTGATACCCGTTTGTGCCCCATGTGCGTGCAGCCAAGTTCAGGGAGGACCTTCTGCGCATCGCCAAGACCACCCTGAGCTCCAAGATCCTCTCGCAGGACAAGGAGCACTTCGCCTCGCTCGCAGTGGATGCGGTGTTGCGTCTCAAGGGCAGCACCAACCTGGAAGCCATTCAGATCATTAAGAAAGCGGGAGGGGCCCTGTCTGACTCGTACCTGGATGAAGGGTGAGTGTAGGCTGGGTTTCTCCAGGGTTTTTCTGGGGTTCATTCAGAGTTCAGTGAGCTATGGGCAGCAGTGGATGCAGTGCTGCGTCTCAAGGGCAGCACCAACCTGGAGGCCATTTAGATAATTAAGAAAGCAGGCGGCGCCCTCTCCGATTCATACCTTAATGAAGGGTGAGTGCAGCCAGGGTTTTTCTATGTGTTTTCCAAAGTTTCTCCAGAGTTTCTCCAGGGTGTTTTCCAGTCTCTGCAGGGTTTCCCTGCAGTGGATGCAGTGCTGCGTCTCCGTGGCAGCAATAATTTGGGAGCCATTAAGTAGACCCTTTATCCCCTTTTAACCCTCCCATCCTACTTCTGCCCCTTCTCCCCCCGACCCCCAAGAACAGGTTTATTTTGGATAAGAAGAGGATCAAGAACGCAAAAAATCTCGTTGCAATCACAGCCATGGACACGGACAAGGTGAAGATCTACGGCGCCCGCGTGCGCGTGGATGGCATGGCGAAGGTGGCTCACATGCAAGCACACTTGCGTGATGAGACAACTCTAAACATGCACCACTGCTTCTCCTCTTCCCCTCCCTCCTCCCCCGCCCCCCTCCCTCCCTACTCCCTCGAAACAGGTTAATTTTGGACAAGAAAATCGGGGTGGGGCAGCCGAAGAGAATCGAGAATGCCAAGATTCTCGTTGCAAACACAGCTATGGACACGGATAAGGTGAAGATCTACGGCGCCCGCGTGCGCGTGGACGGCATGGCGAAAGTCGCCGAGATCGAAGCAGCGGAGAAGGCCAAGATGCGGCGAAAGGTGGAGAAGATTATCGCGCACGGAATCAACTGCTTCTCCTCTTTCCATCCCCTGCTGGCCTTCCGCGCTCCTTCAAAACCAGGTTCATTTTGGACAAGAAGATAGGCGTTGGGCAGCCAAAAAGGATTGAAAATGCAAAAATCCTCGTTGCCAACACAGCCATGGACACGGATAAGGTCAAGATTTATGGTGCCCGCGTGCGCGTGGACGGCATGGCGAAAGTCGCCGAGATTGAAGCAGCCGAGAAGAACAAGATGCGGCAAAAGGTCGAGAAGATCATCGCGCACGGAATCAACTGCTTCATAAACCGGCAGCTGATCTACAACTTCCCGGAAGAGCTCTTTTCGGACGCGGGGGTTATGGCGATAGAGCACGCGGATTTTGAGGGGATTGAGCGGCTGGCCCTGGTGACGGGCGGTGAGATTGCGAGCACGTTTGAGGACCCGGCTGGAGTGAAGCTGGGGCAGTGCAAGGTGATTGAGGAGATCATGATTGGGGAGGACCGGCTGATCCACTTCTCGGGGGTGGCGCTGGGCGAGGCCTGCACCATCGTGCTGCGCGGCGCCAGGTGAGCAAGCTGTAAGAGGGTTCAGGTTTCATAGTTTGAAGATACAGGGTCTGGGTGTCCAGGTTACTGGTCTCGCATTCAAGTGGGTGGGAATTGGGCTGTAGACTGGACGGCGGGAGAGGAGGGGGTGAAGCTGGGGCAGTGCAAGGTGATTGAGGAGATCATGATTGGGGAGGACCGGCTGATCCACTTCTCGGGAGTGGCGCTGGGCGAGGCGTGAACCATCATGCTGCGCGGCGCCAGGTGAGGAGTTGTGGGGGTTACAGGGGGGTTCAGGAGTTAGGGTTAGGAATTGACGATTTGGATTTATCAAGAGGGTTTGGCATTGGGAGAGGCATGCACCATCGTGCTGCGAGGCGCCAGGTGAGGAATTGTGGGGGGTACAGGGGTTAGGATGTGGCCTTCAAAACACTGGCTGAAACCTTGTCCGTCCTTCCACTCATACTTCCTTCTCCTTCTCCCTTTGCCTGTCCGTTATTTGGCAGTTCACATGTGTTGGACGAAGCTGAGAGGTCGCTGCACGATGCACTGTGTGTGCTGACAGCAACAGTGGCAGATAGCAGAGTGGTGTGGGGCGGGGGCTGGCCTGAAGTCATGATGGCGACGCGAGTTGATGACCTTGCTCGCCGCACACCCGGTGAGTTGACTGGCTGTTGACTGAGCGTTGACTGGTTGTTGACTACGGTTGAAGGGACAGCAGAGTGGTGTGGGGAGGAGGCTGGCCTGAAGTCATGATGGCCACGCGAGTTTATGACCTTGCCCGCCGCACACCGGGTGAGCTGGACGGTTGGCTAACGGCTGACTGAGCGTTGACCGATTGTTGGCCGACTGACTGTCGGCTGACGGTTGAAGGGGCAGCAGAGTGGTGTGGGGAGGGGGCTGGCCTGAAGTCATGATGGCCACGCGAGCTGACGAGCTTACCCGCCGCACACCGGGTGAGTTGACTGACAGGTGACTGACGTTGACTGACTGTTGACTGACTGACTGACGTTGACTGACTGCTGACTGATTGCTCCAACCCTGCCTCTTCTGCCCGATTCTCAGGCAAGCGCGCTGTAGCAGTAAATTCATTGCTCCTTGCCTCTGCCCTTTGTGCCATCCCCACCATCATTGCTGAGAATGCTGGGCTGGACAGTGCCGAGCTCGTGGCTCTCATGCCCCCCAACCAGCCTCCTTTCTCCCTTTTCCTCCCCGCCTTTTCTCCCCCATTCCCAGGCAAGAAAGCTCTAGCGGTGGAGGCATTTGCCTCTGCCCTGCTCGCCATCCCCACCATCATTGCTGATAACGCTGGGCTTGACAGTGCAGAGCTGGTCGCTCATATCCCGCAACCCACACACCCCCGTATCCCCTCGACCGGCCCTTCTCCTTCCCCTCCCTGCAGGCAAGCGCGCTCTAGCAGTGGAGGCTTTTGCTTCTGCCCTTCGCGCCATCCCCACCATCATTGCTGATAACGCTGGGCTGGACAGTGCAGAGCTGGTGGCTCACCTCCGGGCGGCCCATGCTGATGAAAACAGCCGTGCCGGCATTGATATTGTCACAGGGCAGGTGAGAGAGGGTGAGATACGTTAGATAGAGGTGTGATGGGAACGACATGTGAAAGACGAAACGATCTTTCAAGCTCCCAGGGTTCACCTTGAAAGTGCCGAGCTGGTGGCTCACCTGCGAAGGGTATTCTTGAGAATTCCCCAAAATACCCTTCAGTTCTCAGGGTTCACCTTGAAAGTGCCGAGCTGGTGGCTCAGTTGCGGGCGGTGCATGCTCATGAGAACAGCTGTGAGAGAGAGAAGGGCTCGCCTGCTCTCACCCTGTAGGGATTCCCTTTCTGCTCAACTGCTTTGGCCTGATTGCTTGCCTGCGTGGGTGAAGTTTTCACGGGTTGGCGACACTTCCTACATGTTCTTTTTATTCTGCTTGACTTCTCTTCACCTCTCTTCTTCCTTTTTCTTCGCTCTCTCCTCCCTCAAGGTGAAGCAGGCAGCAAGTCGTGCTGATGTCTCTCCCTTTCTCCCTCTCTCCCTGTCTCCCACATGTGCACATGACAGGCTGGCGACATGGAGGCGTGTGGGATCTACGAGTCGCTCAAGGTGAAGCAGGCCGTGCTGATGTCAGCAACGGAGGCAGCCGAGATGATCCTGCGTGTTGATGACATCATCACCAACGCTCCCAGAAGGCGTGAGGAGAGGCTATGAGGCCACAGCGCTTGATATAGTGTCTTTACTGACTTGTTTACAAACTTACAATTACACCACAGGAGGCTCTGCAAAAGAAAAAGGAGATGCATGGGTCTTCCCGCTGATGTTTTGACGCCATAGGATGCCTATTAGAGGAGCTCAATTAAGCTTAGGCTGACTTGTTTAAAGGGCAACTTCCCTTGCCCCTCACTGGCTCTCACCCACATTCATACGGTATGGTACTGACACCCAAACCTAAGTCCACTCATCAACCCTCTACCCAAACTCAGCAGCACACACTCCCACGCCTGTGGCATGGAGCACTTTTCTCCCTCTTTCTCCTGCTCAAACCCACCCCTCCCTCACCTCACCCCCTTCCCTGCTGTCTGAAGCACCAAGTGACTCCAAGTCCAAGACCCCTTCTCTTCATTCCTCAGCAATCAGGTACCGGTAACCGGTACCACTCGGTGATTATCAACATATTTTTATAATTGCACAAGATTTAACAGTCATTCTTAACTAAAAGTTATCCCATGTGCTGGTCCAGCCACTCCCCAAATCGCTGAGGTTGGATCCCAAGCAGGGGAAGATCAGACGTAACTTCCTTGAACCTTCCAGTGGTGTAGTATAAACGCATCCAATCACGGAAGCCCTCAGCCTGCCACCTGGCCGAGCCGCCTACAGTAATAGCACGCTCCATGGTCCCATCCAATCCCAGATCGACAAATGTCACCTCCTTGCCGATTTTTTCGCCTACTATTCTCACAATATCATGCTGACTCAGCAGCTCTGGTCCCACGATCCGATACGGCCGGCGATCGTGTGCCACGTCATCATCGCTCGCTAAAATAACGGCTGCCGCTTTACCGATGTCATCCAGAGCAACGGGAAGCGAGAAAGCACCAGGGTTCCCTCCAGCGCCGTACACTTTATCCTCGTTACAGATCGTCTCTTTGCTTCGCAGAACGTTCTCCATGAAATCACCGCATTCGAGCTGGGTCCAGGACAGGCCTAGGGTTTCATCTGCGTGTCGTCTCGAACTCTGCCATTGGCGGTGGAAAATGAACCTCTCCTCTTCCTGAAACACGCCGCCTATAAGCACTACGCGTCGCACGCCGTGCGACTTGCCGGCCGTTAGGATCGAGTTGACGATTTCGTGACGGTTTTCTAGCTGCGGGGCGATGATCAGAGCGCGATCGACTCCGGAAAACGCGGCTGCGTGTGTAAGCGGATCCGCGACGTCGAAACCGCAGACGACCTCAATATTGTCGAGATTCGATACAAGAGTTTCGTCCCCATTAGCGCAGTTCCTGATTCCTTCGGGCTGTACGAGATCACGAAGAAAATCCTCTCTTGTCTTGCTCGTCCCTCGAAACACGGCGCGAATGTGGACCTTATCGCTGAACTTGCCAAGGAGGTGACGGATTGTGGCTTTACCGACTCGAGAGGAAGCCGTAACCACGGCAACTACAATCTTCTGGGAAGGCTGTTCACCAGCGAGAGTCGCGGCGCCATTTGCGGCGTCAGTCGTGTGCGAAACAGCAGCCATGTTGTCTAGTGTTGGATGGGAATGGATCGCTTTGGGGGCTTTACGGGAATTGGTTATTCCCGTGCGAAAAAAACCCGTAACCAGATGAATGACGAGTTGTCTTGTCTGTCGGCTGGGCAAAACAGGGGGGTGATGAGCAGTCAATTTTCGTCAACTGAGTTTCGAGAGCCGCGAGTTCACAGTGACGAACAAGTTACCACGGCCACGATTTTAATGACGAAATGCATCTCCCACAAATGACCCTCCCACCCCAGCCTCATTGGCGCCAACCAAGCCGAGCGCTGAATTTTCAAATGTTCTCCCCCCACCCCCCCAAAACCCCTTCAGGAATTCGGATCACACCCCCCATTCCCAATTCATTTGTGGCGAAAACGTTTCTCCAACCTTCGCAACCAACCGCATCCCTTCCTTCCTGCACTCTCGTGACTTTCGCTAAGCCCCCTTTCCCATCAACCCGACATCCCTCCACCGTCGATATTCCCCGTCAAATCCGCCCAGCAATTGATAAAATCGCGAGTTATCTCGCAGGCGTGTGCGGGACCTGACACCCCGGAGTAGCGGATGATCGAAAAAGTTGATTGTAACTGAAGATGGATATAGCGTCAGGCTGCAAGTGCTCGTGTAGTGAGCGTTTGAAGGTAGGTACCGACTGGCCGTAGCTACACCGTAAGTGACATCTGTCCGTCCTCCAGTTTCGCTGGCTTTGACAGGTTGCGTAATCCTTGCGACAAGGTTGGATTGGGGCTGCATTTGCACACATTGCTACCCCTCCGTCCAGTCCCATCTCCCCCGTCTCTCCCTTCCACTCCTCCCGCACTTCCTGCACCTCCCGCTTTATCTCTTCCCCATCTGCCCCCTCCGTCCGTCCCCACCGATTCCGCCGCTCCTTCCCCCTGCCCGCCCAGCACCTGGAGCAGTCGCTGGCGGAAGCACAGCTCCGCCTCGCGCAGGCGGAAGCGTTGCTGCGCGCGCAGGGGGTGGTTCCGCCATGGGGAGGGGGCAACAGGGAAGCGGGACACGAGGACGCGGAGGTCAGGGAAGCGGAGGAAGGGGTAGACTATGCGCAAAGGGAGGAGAGTGCGGGAGTTGAGTCTGGTGGGGGAAATGAGGAGGTTTGTAAAGAGGCTCGTGGAGGGGAAGATGAGGCACCTGCATTGACTCGGTTGACTCAAGAGGGAGGGGACCATGCTGGTGGGGAAGATGGTGGGGACGATGGCGGAATTGGGGGTGGTGGTGCAGAGAAGCTTAAAGATGGAGAGGGTTTACAGAGTGGCGGAAAGAGGGGAAAAGGAGGGAGGAAAGTTCGTGGGAAGGTGCTGGAAAACTACAGGACTCGACACGTGGCGCTGCAGATCATGTACCTGGGTTCGAGGTGAGTGGGAAGCGGTTATGATGGGTTCAAGGCGATTGTGTGAGTCATTCATGAAGTGAGGTGAGTGTGAATCAAGGGTCGCGGTGAGTGAATCGAGAGTTGAGGTGAGTGGGGAGGAGTTACGATGGATTGGAGGTGAGTATGGAGGTGTTCTAATGGAATCGACGTGATTGTGGAGGTGTTATCTCTCCTGCGCTCCATTATCTTCCCTTCCTCTTCTCCTGCTTCTCTCCTTTATTCTTGTCACACGTACATCATCCCCTAGTCCTCTCTTGTCCTTCGTTCCTTTCTTCTCTCCTGTTCCCTGCAGGTACCTTGGTTTTGCATCTCAAGGCGTTGTGGGCCCCACTGTAGAAGTAAGGCATTGCCGCATTGCACTGCACTCACTTGACAGTAACATTCGCTACTGTCACACGTCCATTCACTGCTCAAAACCCTGTTGTTTGTCTCAAAACCTTGCCGACCCCATGCACTTGATAAGTATCAAATTCTCTTTTCACAATCTACCTTCCTCCCCTGTCTGTCCTACTGCCAGGGCCGGTTAGTGTCAGCCCTGCAGCACACAAAGCTGCTGCTCCCCCCCTCCTCACCTCCTCTCTCTTGTTTCTTAACATCTCAAATGCCTTTCCTTGCTGCGTCCCCTGTTCCCCTTCCTCCCTGTCCTACTGCCAGGGCCGGTTAGCATCAGCTCTGCTACACACGAAGCTGCTGCTCCCCCCCTCACCTCTCTCTTGTTTCTTAACGTCTCAGATGCCTTTTTTGCTGCGTCTCCTGCTCCCGTTGTCCCTGTCCCACTGTCAGGGCCGGTTAGTATCAGCTCTGCTGCACACAAAGCTGCTGCTCCCTGCCGCCTCTCCTGCTTCTCCCCAAGCACCAGATTTCGTTGAGTCCTCTTTCTGAGTCATCTCGAGTGTCTTCTCTTGCTATCCCCTTCCTCCCTGTCCCACTGCCAGGGCCGGTTAGTGTCAGCCCTGCTACACACAAAGCTGTTGCTCCCTGCCGCCTCTCCTGCTTCCCCACAAGCACCCACGTCTGACGCTGAACCGCCTGCATCTGCTGCTGTCATGGACAATGATCGAGATACGGGCTGCGATGTGACTGTAGCGAGGGGTGACTGCACAGCACGTGAGCAGGGTGGAAGAGATGTGACTGTATCGAATGGCCATTTGGATGCTAAGCTGCAGCGGAAGCAGAAGAGAGCAGCAAGGCAAAGAGGGGTGGAGGGTGTGTCTATTGAGTGTGATTATAACGAAGGTGGTGGTGGTGCTGTGGCCAAGGGAGGTGTGGCTATAATGAAAGACATCATGAAGGATGGAGCAGCAGGATACTCCAGATGTGGGAGGACAGATCGAGGGGTGAACGCCATTGGCCAGGTGAGTACACAGATGAATAGTCAGGTGCTTCTTCAGGTGTTTTTTTCAGAGTCTTCTTCCAAAACATTTAACATTTTAGTGCTTGCATCAAGAATTTTCTCCTGAACACACCCCAATTGCCTTTTCAACCCCAATATATCAGGTCGTTGCGCTTCATCTGCGCTCCTCAGTTCGTCCACGTCAGCAGCACACAGGAATGACAGCAGCTGACGTGGCACTTGAAGTCACTGACTGTGCAACAGCTGCTGCCACCCCATCAGACCCACCTGCCAGCCAGAGCAACGTCAGCAGCAGTGGAAGCGTTGCAGCCGACCTGGCAGCAGCCGACGTGGCAAGGAGGTCTGCTGACGTGGCAGGGGAGTCCGCTGACGTGGCAGGCGAGATTGACTACGTGGCATCACTAAACAGAGCTCTTCCCGATGACATCCGTGTGCTGGCATGGGCTTCTGCCCCTCCTGACTTCAGCGCCAGGTGGGTGACTTATATGGCGCGAGTTGAGTCCTGTGACAATGTGTGTGAGTGCTGAACAAGCTGGTCAGGATAAAGTAGAGGCAATAGCCCCTGCCCCTATCTTTGGCATATCTTTGGTATGGGCTCCTGCCCCTCCTGACTTCAGTTTCAGGTGGGTGACATGAACCCATAGCCATCAGGTCAGCAGCACACCAACCCTTCTCTCACAAGCAGTCAGCTCACCAACCCTTCTCTTTTCTGTCTGTCTGTGCATCTGTATCCATGCGCCTCCATGCCTGTCTGTCTGTCTGTGCATCTGTGAAACACAGAAAAGATTCTACTTTGAAACGTTTCAAATTTTCGCGTTTTCTTGCGGCCATTCTTGAGGTGCTGCTCTGCTAGCTCTGTTTGGACCCTTTGTTTTGAGGCACTGTTGTGTGCGTGACGCTGTGCGTGCGTGTCTTGTTGCTGCAACTGCAGGTTCAGCTGTTTGGAACGAGAGTACAGATTCTACTTCGTGGACGAACCTGGACTTGACGTTCCCATGACTCTCCTCCCCATTCCTTCTCTTTGCTTGTGTTGCTGCTACTGCTGTGCATCAGGTTCAGCTGTTTGGAGCGAGAGTACAGATTCTACTTCGTGGATGAACCTGGACTCGACGTTCCGGTAATTTCCCCTCTTCAACCTTCCCCAGCTCCCCTCTTTCAACCTTCCCCAGCTCCCCTCTTTCGACCTTCCCCAGCTCCCCTCTTTCAACCTTCCCCAGCTCCCCTCTTTCAACCTTCCCCAGCTCCCCTCTTTCAACCTTCCCCAGCTCCCGTCTTTCAACCTTCCCCGGCTCCCCTCTTTCAACCTTCCCTCTGTGAGCGTAGACATGTATCGAAATATCTCAAAAACGAGAGCATGTATTTCACTTCGTGGATGAACCTGGTCGTGACGTTCTGTTGACTTTTGAGGCGCCTCAAAAGTCACTTTGTGGACGAACCTGGTCGTGATGCTCTGTTGACTCCTCTCCCCCTCTCTCTCTTCGCCCGTCCTTTCAACATTGTCCCCGTCATTCCTTTTCTCGTTCTGCAGTTTCCTTGTCTCCATCTCTTTTCTGCTCCGTCTCTAATCGACCCACCTCTTCCCCCTACCACACCAGGCCATGCAGCGGGCAGCTGCACTCTTTAAAGGCCGCCATGACTTTCGGAATTTCTGCCGCATGGACGCAGAGAACGTCAAGTCGTTTGAGCGGGACATCTCGCTGTGCCGCATCATGCCATTCGCCTCCCTGTCATCTCGTGAGTGAGTCTTGTCTACTTCTGCCGCATGGACGCAGAGAACGTCAAGTCGTTTGAGCGGGACATCTCGCTGTGCCGCATCATGCCATTCGCCTCCCTGTCATCTCGTGAGTGAGTCTTGTCTACTTCTGCCGCATGGACGCAGAGAACGTCAAGTCGTTTGAGCGGGACATCTCGCTGTGCCGCATCATGCCATTCGCCTCCCTGTCATCTCGTGAGTGAGTCTTGTCTACTTCTGCCGCATGGACGCAGAGAACGTCAAGTCGTTTGAGCGGGACATCTCGCTGTGCCGCATCATGCCATTCGCCTCCCTGTCATCTCGTGAGTGAGTCTTGTCTACTTCTGCCGCATGGACGCAGAGAACGTCAAGTCGTTTGAGCGGGACATCTCGCTGTGCCGCATCATGCCATTCGCCTCCCTGTCATCTTGTGAGTGAGTCTTGTCTACTTCTGCCGTATGGATGCAGAGAATGTCAAGTCGTTCGAGCCGGACATCTCGCTGTGCCGCATCGTGCCATTTGCCTTCCTTGTGTTGCTCTTTTTTCACGTGAGTGATACATGCACTGAGACTGCTTTTCCATCTCATCCCATGTGTCAAGTCCATGACAATTCTTTTCCCACTTACCACTGCAGCTTTTTCTGGGGGGCGAGTTTGAGCCCGCAAGAGGTGTGAGCTTTTTCTGGAGGGCTTTTTCTGGGGGGCGAGTTTGACCCCGCAAGAGGCGTGAGCTTTTTCTGGAGGGCTTTTTCTGGGGGGCGAGTTTGACCCCGCAAGAGGTGTGAGCTTTTTCTGGAGGGCTTTTTCTGGGGGGCGAGTTTGACCCCGCAAGAGGTGTGAGCTTTTTCTGGAGGGCTTTTTCTGGGGGGCGAGTTTGACCCCGCAAGAGGTGTGAGCTTTTTCTGGAGGGCTTTTTCTGGGGGGCGAGTTTGAGCCCAGCAAGAGGTGTGAGCTTTTTCTGGGGGGCGAGTTTGAGTTGAGCCCAGCAAGAGGTGTGAGCTTTTTCTGAAGGGCTTTTTCTGGGGGGCGAGTTTGAGCCCGCAAGCCTCCTCCCGAGCGTCTGTCACTGTGGGTGCTAGAGGTGGCAGGGACAGCGTTTCTGGGGGCGATTCCTGTGTCTGCCTGCCTCACACCGAAGCCTGATCAATTCTCCTCCACCCTACCACTGCAGCTTCTTCCGGGGGCGAGTTTGAGCCGATTTTTAAGTCGACTTAAAAATCGACTCAATTCTCCTCCACCCTACCACTGCAGCTTCTTCTGGGGGCGAGTTTGAGCCCAGCAAGGCTTCTCCCGAGCGTCCGTCACTGTGGGTGCTAGAGGTGGCAGGGACAGCGTTTCTGGGAGCGATTCCTGTATCTGCCTGCCTCACACCGAAACCTGATCAATTCTCCTCCACCCTACCACTGCAGCTTCTTCCGGGGGCGAGTTTGAGCCCAGCAAGGCTTCTTCCGAGCGTCCGTCGGTGTGGGTGCTAGAGGTGGCAGGGACAGCGTTTCTGGGAGCGATTCCTGTATCTGCCTGCCTCACACCGAAACCTGATCAATTCTCCTCCACCCTACCACTGCAGCTTCTTCCGGGGGCGAGTTTGAGCCCAGCAAGGCTTCTTCCGAGCGTCCGTCGGTGTGGGTGCTAGAGGTGGCAGGGACAGCGTTTCTGGGAGCGATTCCTGTATCTGCCTCACACCGAAACCTGATCAATTCTCCTCCACCCTACCACTGCAGCTTCTTCCGGGGGCGAGTTTGAGCCAAGCAAGGCTTTTCCCGAGAGTCCGTCAGTGTGGGTGCTGCAAGTGGTGGGGACGGCGTTCCTGTGGCACCAGATTCGGTGTATGATGGCTGTGCTGCTCATGGTGGGGCGAGGGCAGGAGCAACCCCAGGTGAGGGAGGGGGCGATTTTAGGAGTGAAAGACGGTGGCACAAGACTTTTTCTTTCCGCCCTCTGTCACAGTTCAGGTCTTCACAATCTGCCTCTTTCCATCTTTCCTTACACATGCAAGTGGTATCAGAGCTTCTGTAGATTCCTTCACATGCACGGAGGTTTCTTTTGCTGCCCCCAGTACGACCCTTTGAAGAATAAGCGTCTTTTTTATTATTATTTTTGCGTCACTCCTGCAGGTGGTATCAGAGCTGCTAGAGATGCATGGAGGGCCGTTCACCAGCAAGCCACAGTACGCTCCAGCTGATCCCCATGGCATCGTGCTGCACCGCTGTGCCTTCCCTGCCTCCCTGCGCTTCCACTGCTCTGCCAGTAAGAGATGCCGCCCTTACATGTAGTCTCTGTCACTCCAGCTGATCCCCATGGCCTCGTGCTGCACCGCTGTGCCTTCCCTCCCTCCCTGTGCTTCCACTGCTCTGCCAGTAAGCCATTCCTTGCCAGTACGCCATCCCTAGCCCTTACATGCATGCACTCTCCGCTGCTTCGGCTGACCCCCACAGCCTCGTGCTGCACCGCTGCGCTGCGCCTTCCCTGCCTCTCTGCACTTCCATTGGCGTGTATCTGGGGGAGGACTAGCAAGCCACCCCTTGCCCTGCCCACCTGCATGTGAGGCATGGGCAGAACGAGTTGACTTTTGAGTCGACTCAAAAGGAGATCTAGCAAGCCACCCCTTGCCCTGCCCACCTGCATGTGAGGCATGGGCAGAACGAGTTGACTTTTGAGTCGACTCAAAAGGAGATCTAGCAAGCCACCCCTTGCCCTGCCCACCTGCATGTGAGGCATGGGCAGAACGAGTTGACTTTTGAGTCGACTCAAAAGGAGAACTAGCAAGCCACCCCTTGCCCTGCCCACCTGCATGTGAGGCATGGGCAGAACGAGTTGACTTTTGAGTCGACTCAAAAGGAGAACTAGCAAGCCACCCCTTGCCCTGCCCACCTGCATGTGAGGCATGGGCAGAACGAGTTGACTTTTGAGTCGACTCAAAAGGAGAACTAGCAAGCCACCCCTTGCCCTGCCCACCTGCATGTGAGGCATGGGCAGAACGAGTTGACTTTTGAGTCGACTCAAAAGGAGAAGTAGCAAGCCACCCCTTGCCCTGCCCACCTGCATGTGAGGCATGGGCAGAACGAGTTGACTTTTGAGTCGACTCAAAAGGAGAACTAGCAAGCCACCCCTTGCCCTGCCCACCTGCATGTGAGGCATGGGCAGAACGAGTTGACTTTTGAGTCGACTCAAAAGGAGATCTAGCAAGCCACCCCTTGCCCTGCCCACCTGCATGTGAGGCATGGGCAGAACGAGTTGACTTTTGAGTCGACTCAAAAGGAGAACTAGCAAGCCACCCCTTGCCCTGCCCACCTGCATGTGAGGCATGGGCAGAACGAGTTGACTTTTGAGTCGACTCAAAAGGAGAACTAGCAAGCCACCCCTTGCCCTGCCCACCTGCATGTGAGGCATGGGCAGAACGAGTTGACTTTTGAGTCGACTCAAAAGGAGATCTAGCAAGCCACCCCTTGCCCTGCCCACCTGCATGTGAGGCATGGGCAGAACGAGTTGACTTTTGAGTCGACTCAAAAGGAGAACTAGCAAGCCACCCCTTGCCCTGCCCACCTGCATGTGAGGCATGGGCAGAACGAGTTGACTTTTGAGTCGACTCAAAAGGAGAACTAGCAAGCCACCCCTTGCCCTGCCCACCTGCATGTGAGGCATGGGCAGAACGAGTTGACTTTTGAGTCGACTCAAAAGGAGAACTAGCAAGCCACCCCTTGCCCTGCCCACCTGCATGTGAGGCATGGGCAGAACGAGTTGACTTTTGAGTCGACTCAAAAGGAGAACTAGCAAGCCACCCCTTGCCCTGCCCACC